GAAGCTAGCGTTACATTGGAATATGGTAAGAATCACGAGGGATTCTGGAACGGTGAGCTTTTCTGCAAGCAGGTATATATTTTTGCCATTGTTGTATATGGATCAAACTTATGCAGTAATCTTCTCAGTTGACAGAGAGGTTCTTCCCAGCATTCAAGAAGGCACACGGAGATGGGCACATCGCCTGCATACTTGTCGATAACTCACAGGGATGTTACAACTGACTGTCGAGCGAGTAAGTGGAGACGAGCGAGGCAGGCAGGAGCGCCGACGAGCTCTGATCGCAGTGAGACTGGAGCGGAGCTCAACAGGCAGGACTGGAGACAAGTTGTGTATTGAGCGAAGTATCTACAGAGCGAAATACACGATGGCTTACCTGGAGACAAGAGGTCGAAACTAGAGTCTCCAGGTAGCAAGGGATCCAGCTATATACAGGGAACGAACAATGGGCGCTAGAGGACAATAGCGTTGCCATGGGTACAAAGTACAAGGGGTGTAGGACAATAGCGGATGTGGGGACAGAGGGAGCTATTGTCTGTGTGCAGACAAAGGGAAACAATAGCGAGTAGTGAACAATAAGGAAACGTACGAGGCAATGGTTCGAATCGAAAAGGAAACGTAGCGCCGTGAGGGCGGTTCGTGACAAGGGACACTCGGTATATGCACCCGATGCTTTGCGAGCGTCCAAGATGAACCTTAACCCGGGCGGAGCGCAGCCTCACATGCGCGATGGATGGTACTTACGGGATGGTGAGAAAGTGACACAGCAGATGATTTTCCCCTCCGATCATCCAGAGCGCCCCAACCAGCCCAAGGGGATGAAGGCTATTCTGACGGAACGGGGGCTATGGCGGCCCAGGCTTCTCATGAAGTGCAAGGGGAGTTGCGAGGAAGATGCCATGGACTGCTGTGCAACTCGTATCCTCGAGCGGCAACCCAATTTCGAAGCCCAGAAGTCGCGGGTACAAGAAATCATCGAAAACGAAGGTGAGTAAATCAGCAATAGTGGGCAAAGTCAATCTGAAATCTTGATAGGTCATATCTGCATATTCCTGCCAAAATTCCACTGCGAGATTAACTTCATCGAGTACTTTTGGGGTGCGGTAAAGAATTGGCTCCGAGAGCACTGCGATTACACCTTTGACACGCTCCGTGAGAACATGCCGAAAGCACTACAGTCCGTCTCAATCGAGCTCATCCGAAAATGGGAGCATCGTGCTTGGAGGTTTGTTGATGCATATGCTGAGGGCCTCAGAGCGCGGGAGGCACAGCAGAAGGTGAAAGAGTTTAGTTCGCGCAGGTACAAGTCCCACCGCCGGATCCCGGAGCAGCTGGCACAGGCAATGGACGTCATATAGCATTATGTAATATTACCTCGTTGGTAGATAGACGCTCATGTCACGTGCCTTGGCCTTACTAATGAGGTCACTTTGGCCAGTTTTGACCCAATCGAAAAATGCCTTTGGGGATTAGTCCCTCTATTGAAATCCTTGCAAATGACAAATAACGGGAGGGTTTTATGACGATCTAATGGAGTTATAAGGCGGCGCTTAACGGTGTACAAAACTGGTGGTGACTAATTGAACTGCACCATAGTTCGTTGGGAACGGTTGTCTGCATGTACTCGTAGCCTGTGTCTGAGTGGCTACAGTAAGCTTCCGTTGGATGCCGTCTTCTTCCATCAAGAAAATCCACGGCAATTCCTCGTTGAACGACGCAGTTGCACCCTATCACACCTTGGGCTCGGTAGTGAACGGCGTACACATTCATCAATCGATGCCAATGTAGAATGACGTACAGCCCAGCTAGCGCAGAGACGGTGCGACAGGTCGTTTCTCAGATATTTTCTCACAAAGGATAAGATAGCGTACGGAGTTGGGATGCTCTCCTCACTAGCACCTTAAGGCATTGACAAACATAGGTACAGAATGACTTGCTGTGTGGCGTTGAATACGATCAGAGGCTGCGGACGGGCGCGTAGGTTGCCAGAATAGGCGCGAACGGGGTCTCGACAGGCGCGAACAATTGACGCGAACGTCCCTGAAGATGATGGACTTGGAAACACGTGTCGTTTCCCCAGAGGTCCCGGCTTTACGTCTTCGTGCCACCTATCCCCCAACCACCATGTCCTCTCCTGCTCCGCCGCCAGCGGAACTCCAGGCAAATCTCAGACAACGACGCGTCGGGGACCGAACGTCCTCCAGCTCACCAGCAACAAGTAGCGGGGAACCGGACGCACCTAAGCGAGAGGAAGTAGTGTGGGGGAAGACGCCAAGTGGAGAAGGTACGTGGTCCCATACATAAAGCGATACAGGCAGGGAATCTGCAACGCAGCGCCTTGGATGGCCGGAACTTACCTACCCCCGACGGGAAATGCCAACACGGCCAGTATTCTCCCTCGACGGCGTGATGAGCGCGCGCCGCGCGTTGATCTGAGCAGCGTCATCGCTGTACGATGCGCATATTCTGTCAAATTGTACCGTTACTGATTTGCTGACGTACCTCATCTGGCAGTGTTCCGTGTGCCTACCACTCATGATGTGCTGACTCTCTTCCACCCTGGTTATCCCAAGTCACACATCGACCTGCTCAACCTCGCGTTACTGGGTACCCAACTCGTCCTCTTCTTCACGCTTCCCCGAAATGTGTCACGCGCGTTCTTCTTCTTGTACTTCGCGTTCTGGCGAGCAGCGTACGATCTGGGTCTCGGGTGGGTCCTCACGAAGCAGAGTAAACGTAAATGGATTGTCAGGGAGGTGCAGCGCCTCGGATGGCTCGATCCTGACCGCAAGCCTGAGGTCAGGCGGTGGATCAAAAGTCAACTCGCTGGGAAGATGGGCAAAGACTACTCATTCGATGTTTGTTGCCGTGCATTACTGGTCACACGACCAGAATCTGTGCTTACCCACGGTTATCTATAGGAACTGCCCCTAGAGTACAACACATGGCTCTTGTTCCGCCAGCTCGTGGATATCATTCTGCTCAAGTTCGTGTCGTCTAGCATCCGCCATGTCCAAGTCTGACCTCAGTTGTGGTTGGGTAGTGATTTCTTGGCGTACTGCATGTTTGCCTTCTCGTGTTTCCGCATTCCCGAAGGACTGTCCCTGACGCTTCACATCATGAGGTAAGCACACTTACTATCGCACTTCTATTCCTGACCCAAACTCTATTGTTATTATCCAAGGTGGATCGGGGGTATCGCGCTGATTGCCTTCAACCTGTGGGTCAAGACCGAGGCACACCAAGTCGTCAAGGACTACGGCTGGTACTGGGGCGATGTGTTCTTCCAGCGTGGTGCGCTCGTCTTTGACGGCGTATTTGAGCTTGCCCCTCACCCTATGTACTCTGTTGGTGAGTCGATAGATTCCATGCAGTGCTTAGATTCCCTGGCTGACGCGTGCGATAAGGATATGCTGGTTACTACGGTCTATCGCTTATCGTCGGGAGCTATGCCGTTCTGTTCGTGAGTTTGGCCGCGCATGCTGCCCAGTTTGGCTTCTTGGTCTTCTTCGAGAACCCCCGTGAGTGTTCCTTGCGATCTAACCACAAACAATAACTCACCTGACTCATGGGTAGATATCGAGCGCACCTATGGTCAACGCAAGCCTCTGGCTGTGCGTTCGCCGATACAACCTCGTGCTCCGCGCAAGGCGTCCGAAGACTCGCTGGAGTCATCTCACGTCCGTAAGGCATCTACCTCATCAACATCTTCTCTTGCGGAGGCGCCCACTCCCGCGGTAACGGAAGGCGACACGGCGACAGAGTCTGAGGAGCTCATCACTGAAGTTGAGACTGAGACCGAGATGGTTACCCCCCCTCGCCAGCTGAAGAAGCTCAGGACCCATGCGCTGTCGTCGAAGTCGTCGAGAGATAGCCTGGGCAGGCCCGCTTCTCCGAAGACCCGCGGAGCCATCTCCCAGCATGACCTATTCCACCGGTACTTCCGCAAGGATGCGGTACTGCTCCACAACGTCGATATGTTCCGGTAATGCCCCTTTCGCCAGGCTTGTGTGCACAATAGGTTGCTCATTGTAGTTATCTTCGACGGACAGCGCATCCGATTTCCAGCTGATCCTGATTTTGTCCTACGCGGTCGCGCTCACCATCTGCCCAACGAACTCGCTGCCGCTGCACTTCGTCCACGCTCTCACATGGTGCCTGTTCAACGAGTTCGGTCTCGGCCTGCTGCTCCGCGCACAGTCTCAGAACAAGTTCCTCGTTCGCCACTACCTGAAGCACTACCATTACCCTCAAAACGACCGTGGCCAGGGTGCGATTCGGGAAGCCTTGCAGAACTGGAAGGGTATCTATAACATGAGCATGTGCATGTCGTACGGTAGGGATTCTAGTGCTGTCGATTAGTAGCGTGATTCGTGTTGCTGACGCAATTGGGTACTAGTCTCTCTTGGCTGCTTAGCTTGGAAGACGTATTCTGTCCCCGACTGGCAGCATTGGACTGCTGGCAACGAGTTGCTCCGCCATACACTTGGCGCCGTAAGTTCGCGATTTCAATCCTGCCGCATTCGTAGTCTGAGCCCATCTCTCTCCTAGCTCATGATCGGCCTTCACATCTGGTCAAGTCTTGAGTCTTACGAAGTCCTCGGTCTGTTTGGTGTGTCTTCTCGGCATCCTTCCCGACCTCGCATGATTTGACTGGCTGCTTACCAGGCTGGTTCTTCGGTGACTTCTTCATTGAGGACTATCCGGCGCACCTTGAGTATACCGGTATCTACCGGTAAGTGCATGCACCCCAAAACTCAACGTTTGAATGCGTCCTAAGCTCTGTGCCTTCCAGGTACCTCAACAATCCAGAGGTAATTAGCGGTGCCACCTTCTTTGGCCTCGCTCTCGTCTCTGGGAGCAAGCTCGTCTTCGCGCTGGCTGTCATTCGCCACTTGTCTCACTGGTGGTTCCTCAGTCAGGTTGAGTAGTGAGTTTCACCTCTCAACACTATCGTCAGAACGAGTCCCAAACTGACGCTTGCCATTACATAGCCCGCATATGAGGAAGCTCTATGGTGAATCTATTCGTAGTGATGCTGGCTTCGTTAAAGTCATCAAGAAGGTCGCGCAGAAGAACGTGCGTCTCCTTGAGTCGCGCGCCGGCAAGCACGCTCCTGAGATTAAGCGCGTCGCGCGCGAGGTCAAGGGCACGTTTGACAAGGTGTACGAGGAGACCGCCGAAGTCGTTGAGGAGTTCCTTTCCAAATGTAAGTCATTCCCCCTGGTGCACGTTCGCAACGTGTCTCATTGAACCTATTTGTAGCCCGTCCCAAAATATCTGAGGTCGTGGAGGACACTAAGGTTCTTCTCCAACAGTCTCGGGAGCGCCTCGTTATCTCGCGCGTCGCGAACGATCTATCCTCCTACGATACGAACAAGTACAGGATCTCCATCGTCCCCTCAGCAGATGGCACCCTCCGCTTCCACCTCGGTGAGCCGATCCGCGTCAAGTGGCGAGCGCCCAATCACCACTCGCGCAAGGACTGGATCGGTATCTACCGCGTCGGCTCGAACCAGTCGAACCTTGTCACGAAGACGTCGTCACTCGGCATGTGGATGCCCGTGCACGACGGCGAGTACGACGGCGACATCCCGATCGAGCTCCAAAAACCGAAGCGCACTGCGGGCGCCTCCCCGGACTTCGAAGAGGATGAGGTCGTGTTCACGGGGAGCGTGCTTCCCTGGCGAACGGGAAAATACGAGATGCGATACCACCACGACGGTAAATATAATGTGATGAGTCTAGATGGGCCCTTCGAAATCTATGGTACGTAAAACACCTCGTGTCACATCTGGAATTCTATTGTTGATAGTCTGTGTGCTTGTAGTGGACAAGCCGAGCCAACTTACCTTCGATACGGTGCGGGGTACCCTCAAGCGCATCGTCCCTCTCTGCCTCGACTCCGACCCTTCGCTCATCCCGCAGTCGTGCAAGGGCTATTCGGCTCAGGCAGAGGCAGAGGACGGCCGAGATCCCGACGACTTCCGATTCTGGACCGAGCGGCAGGCGAAGCGCATCTCGCTCGCAATCGAGCAGGCTTTCGACGTCGAGCTCACGCCGGACGTCATCGTCGCTGACGCGAACCTCAGTGCACTCGCGAACCGGATCCTCACCTCGAAAGAGCTTCTGTCGGAATGAGAAGGCATTGAGGAGCCGAAACAACCCCGCTTGTCCAAAAGCTTTCATGAACAAATTGACGAATTCAGGACGAACTATACATGTCAGACGTTGGTTACTGAAGAGACATGGCTCTATCCCGGGAACTCTTACCGTTTTTTTTCTTTCATCGCTAGATACGCCAGATGGTTTATAACTCGCCTACAATATAGCGATACACGGTAATTGAGTGGATTTTCCTTCGCTTTAGTCATGCCTGATACTGCCAACCCCGACTGCATCTCTGAGACGATCAAGTGACACCTGGTTTCAGTGACCACTATGGAAAGGCATCCAGGTTCGTACTGGCATGACCATGCTCGCTATGTCGTTCATCATCTCTGAGGTATTGAGTCTGGTTCCCACATACTCTCCCCACTGAACATGCCATTCGCCCGCGTTCGCCGTCTAGACTCCACTTGCAATGTTGCCGACGAGAACGGCCTTCTTGTTGCTGGCAGCGGCGGCAGTTGATGTGTTGAATCTTACAACCTAACAGGAGCCGTGGACATAACTCGGGGAAATTTGCTGGGATAGCCACCAGCCGAACCCACGAGGTTCCGTTCATCGAAGTAGTTCTATAGGTGATGAACAGCAAGACGGCTTTGGAAGGCGGTCCGATCTCCGCATGTCCCCAAGCATCCCCATGTAGCTCACGACCTCGTTGAATGGACATACTGCTACTCTTCGGCTTGGTCGCGAAACCGACGCCATGCAGGTAGGTTATTTGCTAATGCATGGGACAAAAGCAAGCTAAATATGGTACAGATACCCCCGCCTTCATCTCAGCTCACCAAGTGAAGCCATAAGGCGACGCTCTAGTTAGAAGGGCTACAGACATTTACGTCTTCGCTCCTCCACAGGGCGCGGCCGTCTCTTTGCCTCCGCGACGGGATTTTGGGGCTCGAAGTCGTTCGTTTATTTCTAGAGACACCGATATAGCCACAAGCAATATAAGGGACTGGCGCTGGCAGTTAGCCTTTGCTGGCGATCACGATGGCAGGTATTTGGCAATTGCGACCTCGGGAAAGAGCCTATGTAAGAGTGTAGAAGCACCGTTGAGGCGCAGGCGCGGGCTGCGGGCTGCGGATGTTCACAGGGCTGGTCATCAGGCCCCCCCCCCTACTTGAATACCAATCCACGAAACCAGGAACTTCTTGGCCCATAATATTGGCTTCAGCCATATGCAAGAAACGCGCAGACCGAAAACACCTCGCTGATGGTCAATTTACCTTCTTCAGAGACGTGGCCTCCGCCATCGCCGAGGACACGGCGTTTTGCTGTGGCGTTTAAGGGGACAAAGGGCGGCGTAATTGAGTAGCCGCTCTCAATATGCGGTATTAGAGACCTTCGCCTGGGCGCCGTGAGTCTGTTCGAGCAGAAAATAGTGCATTCGCAACGGTGCGAGCACATGAGTGCAGAGCACGTATCCGCAACGTTGACTGGGTAAATGCAGGTCATATGTCCCAAGTATTCAACGAGGACCCACCTGCATACCAAGGATGTGAGACAAAGGAGCATCCTCCGCTGCTCAGTGTAGTATCCACTGCATATACGCGTCGCCGTCGAGAGGCAGGCCGAGTTGGCTTGTTGCATCATGATCTTGGTGGCGCCGGTCGGCACATCCCGTTAAGCACTAGTAGTCACCGCCACTGCCCCGGGCCTGGGCCCCTCAGTCAAAGCTGAATGTGAACACTACATAACACCAGTTGCTCTCTTCCACTACAACCTCGCCCGCCATTACGTCCTATAGTATCCCCGTGGCAATCAACGATCTATTGATCGCAATTCACAGACTGTAGGGATGCAACTCTAGCCCCGCTCACATCATGAGAAGCATCTAAGACGACAGTTGGCGCACGAAACGAAGCGCAGCCAATGCTCTCAGTCCCTGTCAGCGAACGTGCCACAGGTCACTTGCGCATTCAATGAAGGCTTTATTCATAGCATACGACGATCTGTACCTTTTTCAGTCTTCTCCGTGCTCCATTGCAACCGTGGTCCTACAGACGAGCAACCTCAGCAGACAATGATAATTTGTGAGTATGGCTCGAACTTAACCGTCGGAACCACTACTGACGCCTTTCAAAGAATGGAAATGTACTTACAGAGCATGCTGACGATCTTTCTATTGGTGGACTTGGTGTACATGTGCCAGTCGCATGACGCCTGCGACGAAGTTGTTTTTCCGGGGGCTATCTTGGCCAAGCGCCTCACGAGAGTTTTGTAGGCAGTCCTCAGGTATAAAAGCCTCGTTGGTCTCCCTCATCGGTCCTCAGACAATCCCCTGTCTACACATCGCCGTCCTCAGACTGTCCCTCGTCTACACAGTGTAAACATGCAGTTCGCGTACTTAATCAACATCGTCCTCGCTGCCCTTCTCGTTGGCTACAGTGAGTACACGGACTCTCTTCCGAATACGAGCTTTCTCGTTCACTAACTGTGTGCTACAGACGCTGCGGCTCCCTCTGATGTTACTGGGGTGTCCGCCGTCGAGGATATTAAGCACCACCCGCACCACCACCACAAGGGTCACCACGTCGGTCGCGGTCAGCACACGGATTCTGACTTCGAGAGAATATCTCTCATTGATTGGTCTCTCCATACAGATGCTGCTGCCGACGTCGGCACCGCTGACGTGCCGGTCGCTGCGGTTGATGTTCCTTCTGAGGATGTCAAGCACCGTCACCACCACCACAAGGGGCATCACGTCGGCCGTGGTGAGCATACACTCATCGCCCCCAGTATTTCCATATCTGACGACTCTTCGTCCTGTACAGACACTGTTGAGGCCGCTACCGTGCCCTCGGAGGACGTGAAGCACCGTCACCACCACCACAAGGGCCACCACGTCGGCCGCGGTGAGTATACGCACTTTCGTGCTAATCCTGCTCCGTCAACATACTATGCTCTACAGACGTCGTAGAGGATGCCTCTGCCCCATCCGAGGACATCAAGCATCGTCACCACCACCACAAGGGTCACCACGTTGGTCGCGGTGAGTCTATGCTCATCGGCTCCAAGAAGTCCTGTCCAGTGGACTCACTGCGCGACAGACGCTGCTGCGGTTGAGGCGGGGCCTGACGAGACCCCCACCGAAGACATCAAGCATCGTCACCACCACCACAAGGGTCACCACGTCGGTCGCGGTAAGTGGTGGCGGATGTCTATCTTGCGACGTATACATCTTATCGTGTCCTTTAGATGCTGTCGAGGACCCGACCGAGGACGTCAAGCACCGCAAGCACCACCACCACAAGGGCCACCCCGCCGCCTGAGGTAGCGTCCTCTTGGGATGAGGCAGGGCGAAGCGTGACTGCGAGCCTCCGCGCATCCCAATGCAAGAAGTGACGAATCCCTCGGTTGGACGGCTTGGTGGAAATTCGCGCATGTACGATATTCAGCAGTGTATGAGCCGTCTCCCTGTGGTGCATGAGCATGTATGCAGTATGGGGCGATTCCAAGCTCCGAGATTGGCAATGATAAATCTAGTGAACGCAGTCTGTCTTTCCCGGGGTCTCGAGGCTATGAACCGTTGCAGGTTCCGCGAACGACCGGCATAATGTCCTCGTCTCAGCTGAAGAACATTCGGTCTATCTTTCTTGCGGCGGCTTCGAGTGTTCTAAGTGAAGGTAGCATAGAAATCCCTCAGGCCTCCGAGGACCTCTCCAGTGGACGGTGTTTCGGGCAATCACCGTAGCATATTACGGGGTCTGGCCGGATTCGCCTTCCCTTGTCACAAAATGTGTAAGTAGCGGAACGACACACGTTCTTCAACGACCAAGGTCCCTTCTCCCGATCCAATATTGTCACCGTGGCGGCCAGTCGAAACCAAAGTTTCCATTGCCATGGCTCGCGCACATGGGACACGGTCGCGGGCCCTGCCGAAGGCGAGATCAGGTGGGCCCGCTCCCGCTTCGATCACGTCCAAGCCCTGCCGAGGCCCGACAGCTTCACCCTTCGTCGTTCCCAGCAGCTTGCCTCTCCCCACGACCGTCTAGCACCCCCAGCACCCGCGTTCGGCCCCTCCGCGCCTTTGCTCCAGCTAGACGACAGGCATTCGCTGTAACGACCCTTACGTTTTCCACCATAAACCCCGCAAAACAGCTTAAAATCAATCCAGGAAACCAGGAGCAATGGCCCGCTACGCTGCGTCCACGTCCCTCGCTCTCTTCGCCGCCCTCCTCTCGCTCTGGTCTGCCACGTTCCTCTCTGCGCTCGCGTCGCCCCTCTCGCCTGCCCCTACTGCGCTCGGTGGCCTCAGCCAGGCCTCACCCCAGCCTCTCGTGCTCGCGCGCGGCGTCAGCGCGGAGCGGAGGCAGGACGACGGGAGCGAGCCCGTGTTCCCGGCACAGCCGCCGTCGTGCCCGATTTGCCAGCAGAACTTTGGGAGCATCGATAGCTGCGCGCAGGCGGCGCCGGTGTTGCAGAACTTCTCGATGGTGAGTGGTGCTGTTTGCCTGAGAGGCCGAATGTTTGCGGTGTCAAGCTGGCGGAGGGGAGTCGTGCCGTGGAATGGGCATGACGTGCCGTAGGACCATACCGGGGGTTGACAGGAACAGAAGTGAACTTTGGAAATGGGAAGGGAGAGAGGAGTTGATTGGGTTCAGTACTAATTGAAGACGCCTTGCAGATCATCTTCAACCCGGGGGCGTTCATCGACGTTATCAAGTGCGCCTGTGCGGACACCTTCCAGAGTGCATACCCGCAATGCGTCGACTGGTATGACACACGCTTTCATGATTTGTATGGCATTTTCCTCATGATACGCTCGCTAGCTTCATCAAGACGAACCAGACGTCGTTCCTGGACTCTGACTCGGCGAATCTCCCGGGAATCGTCGACGGCATGCGCAAGATCTGCGCCCTCGAGAGCACGCTCCTTGGCAATGTCTCGAATTCGGATGGCGAGACGACCCCCACCTCCAGCGCAGCTGCGGCCACCGCGACGACGGCGAACGGTGCTTCCTCGCTTTCGTCGTCGTGGTCATGGTCGGCCGTCGCCGTCGCTGTTTTGTCGAGCTTCGTCGCTGCGCTGCTGTGATGTCCTTCTTGGTGACTCCGCGGACAAGGACACGGCTCTTGATGGTCCGTTACGAGAAGTTCGTGCTGTGGAAGGCTTATTTATACCCTATTTTTGGTGTCGCTTGTTGCACCCGCTAACGACCTGTTACGACTATAATGACCTTACTTACGACCTGCGATGTACCTGCTCTAGTAACTAGTGAAACATTGTCTGCCGCAGCCAGCACCTACGCTCTATGCCTAGCCATCCCGTGTGGGCACCACGATCACGTGAAGCGTCGGCGGGCAGGCTCGCGACTGCAAAAGCGAGCATGTCGCACTGTTTGTCCTCGAGAGACGATCGGCCGTACTGAGAAGGGCTTATAGTACTACTTTGAGAGGATGGCAAGAGACTCTTTGTGGGGCGCACCTCAACGGAGCACGCCTTTGTGAGATATTTATCCTGTGGCCACACGTGCCGTAAACCTTTCCCTTCAACCACCACCACCTCCACCCCTACCTCACTCTGCTCAGCTACACTCTAGGCTCCCCTGCTATCTCAATCGAACTAACTGTTGTCAAGACATCTGTCACAACATCCAACGCACCATTTGTATGCCGCAACGATGAGCGACAAGACACTGAACGCGGCGCAGGCTGCGGGGTGTCAGACCCCGTTGCCGACCCGGAAGCGAGCATGGGCCCCGGGATCGGTCACCCCCAACCTCTATTCCGCGGCCAAGAAGAGGCGGCGGATGTCCCTCGCGGACGAGGACAATGCAGACTTCGAGGCCTTTGGCGCAGAGCTTGGATCTGCGAGCAAGGTCGATGTGGTACGTGTGACTTCCTTCCTTGTCCCGAGTCGGGGATCGGGCGTTCCTAAGTAGGGTAGCGTGCGTGAAGGTGGACATGATCGGCGACGTGAGGAGCATGTGGGGGACGGATACCCTGCGGCGGTGTGTGCATCGTGGTCGTGCGGTGTGTATCGCCCGGCTTGACCGGAAATACTAGAACTTCGGGTTGACGGCCTCTTCGAGCCCTTGTGCATACTGTCAGACATGACCTTGACGGCTGCGGTAGTGAGCGAGAACGGTCCATATGGCTGCTGTGGCGAATAGTAGAACTTGCGAGACGTCGCAATGCAACGAGCGTTGTCTGGGACATCGCCAGCATGCAAACCATACCCCCTCCTGTAGTGTCCCATACCACATGTGCTTCTTCCGTTGCGTCGAGAAGTGGCACTGCACATCGATGCGCCTCATGGCGCCAAAGTCACGGTGTCGAATGTGTGGCATGAAGCTGACTGTTTGTCCTTTCAGTCCGACCGCTTCATTTCTGCACGGAAAGACCGCGCATTGCCCCTCCAGACCACGCCGCGCACACAGCGGATAGCCAAGCTTTTCGGCCTTGCCGACGACCGCGTCCTCAACTTCACCGACACGAACACTGACAAGAAGTCAAACAACTCGTACCTCAACCGACATCGCTTCAACTTCCACCAGCTTCTCAAAAAGCCGCACGTCGTTCCGTCGACATCCGCAGAGGCGCACCTTGGGTCGCGGAAGCAGTTCATCCTCGCCCTGGACGGGCCTGGCATCCCCTCCGACCTCTTCGCCTACCCGATATCGTGGTCCGCGCGGAACGCGATCGCAGTGGCATGCGGCTTCGATGTGTACTACCAGGAGCTCGACTCCAGGAAGATCTCGCACCTCTTCAAGCTCCCGCAGCGACAGCGAGGGCGGCTGATCAGCATCGAATGGTCGCCGAGTCGCCCGAACCTCATCGCCGCGGGGACGATGAACGGCGAGATGCAGCTCTGGGACGCGGACGCGACAGCGCAGCTCGGGGTGTGGCAGGAGGAGGGCGACGCGGACGTCGGCGGGCTCAGCTGGCACGAGAGCACGCTCGCCGTCGGGCTGGGTGACGGAGCGATATCGCTGCATGATACACGCTCCCCGGCCCGAATAGGTAGGCTCGAGATGCACAGGGACAAGGTGCACGGGCTCCGGTGGCGGCACGATGGGAACTACTTGGCGAGCAGCGACCAGGCGGGCGTAGTGCAGATCTGGGACGCGCGCGCGAGCAAGTCGCTCACGCTCTCGAACCGGTGGGGCAGCAAGATCAAGCACCACGCGCCGATCAAGGCAAGCGTTTTCCGCTGCCTGTCTGACACATGCACTCAGTACTCACCTCCCGTGGCTGCAGGCTCTAGCGTGGTGCCCGTGGAAGCCCGAGCTGCTCGCGACCGGCACTATGCACCCCGACGGCAAGGTCCGCGTCTGGAACATCAACAGCACGATCGGCACCGCGCCCCCGGCGCACATCATCCCGCTCAACACGTCCGTCACCTCCCTCCTCTGGTCCCCGCACTGCAAGGAGCTCCTCTCCACGCACGGCATGTCCTGGGTGCCTCGCGGCGGCGCGAGCGACTCGTGCCCCAACCTCGCCTCCTCCTCTGCCGCCGCTGGCTCCTCCTCCATGGACCCCGGCAACGGCAACCCAGGCCGCCGCCGGCACCGCGACCGCGAGCGGCCGGTGGCCGCAAAGACGGTGCTGACGAACTCGTTGACGGTGCACGCGTACCCGAGCCTGCGGCGCGTCGTGAGCGTGCCGGCGCACACGGGCCCCGTGGGCCACAGCTGCCTGAGCCCGGACGGGACGATGGTGTTCACGATCTGCCCTGCGGAGGAGGCGATGAAGATGTGGCGCGTGTGGGGCGTGCCCGAGAAGGCGGAGCGGAGGGAGAGCGTGTTCGACAGGTGTACGATCCGGTGAGCGCGAGGATGAGGGTGAGCGCGAGACAGGTGCGGTCCGCGAGACGTCGCTGTGCTAGGTCGGCCGTTGAATTGCGGGGCGTGGTGTAGGTTGATCGTGTTGGCCTTCGTGGCTGCTCGGACCAAGTAGGTACAAATGCCGATGCTGTGCGTGCGCTCTTTGTAACGATTGCGGGACGTTGTGGGTGCTCTCCCGCGACGCTCGCTGTGTTCTGTGCCATGTCTCTTTGTAACCACATACTTTGCTGTAGCTGGCACGTTGCTTTATACATATGTCCATCCCTACACCATGTCCCGTAAGGGCCTTGCTAGATTGAGACCTTCAGGTCATCCACTGGCGTCAGCCGACTTCGCTCTAATGCAAGTTGCATATTCAGCAAGGCATTGATGTACATACCTCCCCATAGCTGCATCCGAAAAGCCAACGCCACTCAGCGTGACGTCCCCAGCCGTTTCAGGCCACGCAACGCACACGCAACCGTTCGTAGCTGCCATGCATGGTAGCAGGCACTGCTGAACGGATGGTATACAATTCCGTCTATTCCGTCCTATTCTACAACATGACATCGCGTCGTACAGTACCTAAGCCAGGTCCGCGTCCTCCCAGTTCTCCGCATCCTGTGCTGCCTGCTCCGCTGAGACGACCTCGTCCGCCCCGGCAGGCCGGGCACCGTGGCTCGCGACAGCGGCGCGCGCATGCTCCACGGCGAGCTGGGAGACGTAGTACCTGTACTCGTTCTGCGCCTGCAGCTGCGCGGTGTGCGTCCACAGCTCGTACGCCTTGTGCATGACGTGCGCCGGCGGGCCCTGCAGGCGGGCGAGCGCCTCCTGGATTGTGACGAGGTGCGTCTCGTAGTCTACCTCGTCGGCCATGCGCGTGCCGGCCTCGACGGTCTAATCGGCGATAGGTCGGGGTCAGATACGCGGTGTGAGAACGAGGACAGCTTCGGGAGAACGAGGACGGACGGACTGACCGCGTCTGCTGGGATCTGGCCCACGTACCAGAAGGTGAGGTACTCGCCGCGCTGGTGATTGCGCCCCCCGCGGCCGTACCCCATCAGGGATATGTAGATGGGCTCGGTGCATGGGAGGATGCGCGAGCGGTCGAGCCGCCGGATCGAACCGGGGGGGGTTGGGGCGTTGTGCGGGAGGACGACGGGGAGCAAGCTGACGCGGTATCCGGACTGCAGGGCGGAGGTGAGTTAGTGAGTTCCGCGTGTGAGGCTATAGCCTACGAGCGTTCGAGAGTTCATGAATGATCTTTTGAAGAGTTCTAGGAAAATACGGATACGGCAGGTCCTGGCCGGGACTCAGCCAGGGCGATCGCAGGGATCGAGTATGGCGGGAGAGGTGGATAGACACTCGAAGCGGTGCTAAAACCACCGCTCCCCTGAACTTCCGTGTCTTGGGACGCGAGCACAGGGACTCACCTCTTCGTAGGCTTCCCGCAGTGCCGTCTGCTCCAGGGACTCTCCGACGTCCTTCCTGCCTTTGGGAAGGAACCAGTAATTGTGCTCGCGTCCGTGCCTGTCTTTCTCCCTTTGGCATAGTATGACTACCTTTCCGGACGAGGGCTGGATGATGGCCATGCCCGACCCGAGCATGAAGTCCGAGGCGAACCACACGCTGTCCGGGACGGCGGGGGTGGAGTCGTTCGATAGGTGGTTAGGGTCTTCGGCTACGGCGGCGGTAGCAGCGGGAGGGCGATTGAACCTCGACTGTGGCTGAACTGTGGTGGTCGCAGAGGATGCTTGTCTCTGGTGCTGTCGCGGGCCGTGACCACGACTGTTTCCATTGGTATGAGACGGTCCGGAGGTGGAATGGTTGGACGGTGGTTGGGTCTTTGCAGGGCCTCCCAGCACGCGGGTGAACGACCACCGACTACTTGCCATGGCTTGGAAATGGATGGAGGTGATGAAAGTATGTGTGAGGCCTGAAGCAGAGGGCGCGTCCGAAAGAGCTGAGAAGTGACATCGATTGCGAAGCGTAAGAGGCGTCTGAGGGCCACGCCGCTGCGAGACGTCCGTCTGCACCGGCGGCTGTGCCACATGTTCCATGATGTCATCATTGCTGAACCAAGTACTCGAACCCGACTTCCAACTTGGATAGGATGAGCATGTCCTCCTCGTCCGGTATTATTCGATGGGATTGAAAATCTCAAAGGCCGCATAAGACATATATAAGTGCGTCTTTCCTGCCTAGATTGTCGTTCAACGATAGCGGTGAATTTTGTGTCCAAGGTCTGGTCGCTGGTTTCACCGATAACTACATATGAGGGGCAGGAAGGGTGGTCGCGTTTCCTCGGGTATTGGTATGCTAGGTTCTTGCTTGAAATATCTGTGCAGCAACTTGCCAATGAAGAGCACAGAACTAGTGCCAAATAAGTGTCAGTGCGTGGGATTCCCACACAGCGATTTCACATTTATCACTGTTCTCATCCTGCAAGTGCCTCGGATAGGACGGCATGTATGCTGTGATTCATTGGTGTACACACACACTTCTGGCAAGCCGGATTTCGAGCTTAAGTTGAGTACTAGTTTCTAGACACCTTGATGACGACCTTCCCGACATGCTGCTGGCTCTCCAGATACTCATACGCTTCTCGGGTGTGCTCGATATCGAAAACCTTATTCACAACAGGCTTCAGCTTCACCGCCTCAATCAACCGGATCAAATCTTCGAACCTGTACGTCGATCAGTTGCCGTCAGCCCACAATCACTAGAGGTTGCCAGAGATGAACGCACTGTTGGCGAGAACCAATGATGATACCGCGGTAGTGGAGACCCTTGCCATGGACGAACAAGGGCAGCTGGCTGGCGTCCCCTGGCTAGATGAGTCATCGGTCCTCTTGGAACCCCTCATCAAGTAGATCTTTGCATACCCCTGCCACGATGCCGATGACGGATAAGTTGCCTCCATACCTCGTCGCCTTTGCGGACTGAATGACCGTAGCTGGGCCACCGACCTCGAGGACATGGTCAATGCCGCGGCCGTTCGTGAGCTTGAGAAACTCCTCCTCCCATTTCGGCGTCGTCTTGTAGTTGATCACGTGCTTGGCACCGAGCTTCTTCGCAATCTCGAGCTTCTTGTCCGAGGACGACGTGGCGATGACGGTTGCACCCGAAGCGACGGCGATTTGCAGACCGAAGATCGAGACGCCTCCGGTGCCTTGGACTAGGACAATGTCACCGCCCTTCAAGGTGGGCTTGCCGCCAAAGAGGCCATTGTAGGCGGTAAGAGCAGCACATGGAAGGGTTGACGCCTCTTCGTAGCTCAAATGTTCAGGGATGCGCACGAGAGCCTGACGAAGCGGAGAACGCGGTGCAACAGATCTATCACGCGTAATAGATGGTATGAGCCGCTGGTAATTACGAACAAAGCACCGGCGCCCAGTTTACCAGTAATAGACAGACTAGCCGCCGAACATGAGGTTTGTTGAGCTAATTCAACAGTGGATAAATACAGTCTAGTAGAGCATATTACAGTGCTTTGCAACAAAGATTGCAGTGCGAAGCGCGCAAAATCCTGTTTAGGCGTGTTCAATTCTTGTCGCTCGCTCATTTCCTCGCGCGCCTACCGGGCGTCTGCCTACCTGGATTCAAGGTCAGATCAAGCGCCTGTAGCACAGCGAGCAGAGGTGCGCAGGCAGCGGGTGCAACACGACCGCATGAGCGTCGCGAGCTGGGACTGAGGAGCGACGCGAAAGCTTAACGATTTGAAAGATAGTGAGCTCCATGACTCGAGACGCGGAGTCGTCCCGCAAGGTTTTGAGTCCAATTGCCATCAGGCTTACAGTGGCAACCCCAGGTGGCCAGAGAAGCGTGTCGTGCCGAATCTGGTTCCGATTTGGGCGCATTGTGTACAATTATTCTCGGTCAACAAGCCTATAGCGATCTGCCGACGTCTCCATCCACTTTCTGGACAGATTTTCTGGGCATAACAAACCTAGCATAGGACGAAAACGTCGATCTCGCTGCACCGCTGCCTGTGCGGCTGTGCTACAGGCGCTTGATCTGACCTTGAATCCAGGTAGGCAGACGCCCGGTAGGCGCGCGAGGAAATGAGCGAGCGACAAGAATTGAACACGCCTAAACAGGATTTTGCGCGCTTCGCACTGCAATCTCTTTTGCAAAGCACTGTAGAACGGAGTAAATACAAGTACTTAATTCAGAACCATAGTGGAATAGTTCCCCTCTGTGTGCCCTAATGCAAATATGATGGTCTACAGTTCATGAACCTCTCGCTGAGTCAAGGCTAGAATACACTTGGCCCAATGTGCCACGTGGCTGGGCTATCCCGAGAAACTCGGTGCACCTGGAGACACGCCCTTGCGCCCCGGCGACCAGACCTCGTACTCACAATCACTCCTCTTGCTTCCCCTCGACCATTCGCTCCTGGAAGATAGCCTTCATCCTTTTTCTGAGAGCTGGGAATCCTACACACACTGTCGGCTTCCAGTATACCCGTGGAATGGCTGTCATACACACCCGCGCAGGTACGCACTACAGACTTATAGCCCCGCGGAGCCCGTGACGCCCGCGCTAGTGTGCGGACGTCGTTTTGCAGGAGACAGAGGGATTTCCCCTCTGCATCGGTTCAATCCCTCGCGGATTGAACAGGTGCTCTCGCGTTTTGTGGATGTTGGTCTGATATGCTTACCCAAGTCCAGACCCTCGACCAAGCACGAAAGAGGAGCCCCTCGGCAGCTTCCCCATAATCTTCTTGTTCACAACATGCACATTGTGTGGACTGTTCCTCCTGTGGCGCCGGGCATCTGCAATTAGGACGGTCGTTGCGCACCGGTGAGTAACTCTTGTATATCTCCGTTCTGTTGTCTTGCATGGAGGTGGCGAGGTGTTACCGGGGCGTACGAGGAACATTTGGCGGCAAAGAAGCACGCTTCTAGGATGTTAAATTTGTGTATCGCGGTACCGATACTGACCGTCACTCGTTTTAGACTAGAGACCTGGAATCAAGGAGAAGGTCGCATACGGCTGTCGGTCGATGACGGGCCGTCAGCACGAGAATTCCTAGACGACGACTACGATGACGATAACGAGCGACTTGGAGACTCCGAGCCGCTAGCCATCAGAGCAGAACGTCTGCGGAAAGCCGCATCTCCGGCGGAGCAAGCAGCGGAATCTGTCGCCCAGCGCACAGGGCTCTTTGAAGCGGATACGGAGGAGCCACCTCCGCCACCCCCGAAGGTCTGATGAGGCCCTTTGAATGACATGCTAGTGAGCCAAGACGTCCCATATGACGCATATCGTCTGCTGACTTCGGCCACTGTATGTCAGTGTAGTACGGTGCCTATCATGTCGTAGGCGGCGCTTGTCCGGTAATTATAGCCAATGCATTTGATGCTAGATTCTAAGTTTCTCCTCCCGTACCTCGAGATTCTGACGGAACCTTGAGCCTGCCTTGGAAGTGTGATGCTTGTCCTACGAGAGGCCTGCATCAAGTCGCAGCGAGAGCACGGGTTCTGCAGCTATGTTTCAACGACACAGCACAAGAAGTCCTCTTGGGACGTATTTTGTTTGACTCGTGAGTGTTTCAGCAATTTATGCATTTTGGCGTACTCCACCTCCAGGTCTTCTAATGCCCCAGGAGAGCGATGCGGGGCTCGGGTTTTGTAGCGTTTTCTTGAAACCCCGGAGCTCAAAATAACTCCTGCATCTTCGCAAGCGGCGATTGCGCTCATCGTCCTGTGCCCGTGATGCGGTGGTGATCAGGTGACACTCCCTACCGCGGACCGTCGGCATATCATACGCTGACTGGCCGCTCAGTCCATCGACTTGCCCTGCACGGCCAGCCACCCTTGTCTTGGATGTTTCGAGACTTCACGTAACGCGTCCTCGTGCACTAGACAACGCACTTCCCGAAGTCGCTCCGCTTCGAGCTCCTCGTCTTCTCCTGGTCATGGGGACGGTCCATAGACTTGATCTCCGCTAGCGTGTATGCAGTGCGTGCAATAATACTCGGGCGCATAAAACCTCGGGCTGCACAAGCTCGAAGCCGTCTCTGACCGGCTCTTCAGCTTGACTGCATCATGGCTACTCGTCGCCAGGTCAAACTGGCCGTCCTTGGCCTACTTGCGTTCGCAGGAAGCGTCTTGGGAATTGGTCAGGACACATGCGTCGCGTTCAAGTCCTCACCCTCAGCGTTCACGATCGTGAACAGCGGCAAGGCTGCTCCTATCCTGCTGTCTCCTGATGAATGGCCTGCTGTCCAACGCGCAGCCACTGACTTCGCTTCTGACATCGAGGCCGTTACTGGAGTCAAACCTACGCTCAGGAATATCACCACTTCGCGAGCATCGTCCCTCATGTTCAATTCGACGTCCTTTGGTTCCAACACGGCCGTCATCATCGGCACTCTGGGCAGGTCGTCCCTCATCGACGAGATCGTGAACCGCACGAAGCTCGATGTGTCTTCCGTCCAGGGCAAGTGGGAGGCCTTCATGGCGAAGGAGGTTGCAGACCCGCTCCCGGGGATCAAGAGCGCGTATGTCATGATCGGCGCGGACAGGCGTGGGACGATGTTCGCGCTTTACGACCACTCTGAACAGTTCGGTACGTATAGACATACCAACTTGGGTGCACCACGCGGCGCTGTGGCTCATCGTTCTTCTTTGCGCGTCAGGTGTCTCGCCTTGGTATTGGTATGTCCTAAGGCCATGTCCATCCTACTGGAGAGTAGGTGCGATAGAGGATGCAGGTGATCTGACTGCCGGAATAGGTGGGCGGACGTACCGACCACGAAACATAACGCGTTGTTCGTGAACTCGTCGGGATGCTCGCACGGTACTCCGACGGTGAAGTACCGCGGCATCTTCTTGAACGATGAACAGCCTGCGCTCCAGAACTGGGCGATGGAAAAATTCACGAACGGCACTGGGGCTCCGCTCACCGGCTCGCCGTTCAACCATTTCTTCTACACGAAGCTGTGCGTGTTATCTTTGCGCAGTTCTGGATGAGCCTTCCTCACATCGGCGGTCAGGTTTGAGTTGATTCTACGGATGCGAGGAAATTACCTCTGGCCAGGTACGTTTCTTCTCGAGTTGTCGTACTATGCGGCTCAACACCAAATCATGTCATTTGTTACTCGAACGCGCAGCACAATGGAGCAGGTATGCGTCCCTTGCCACGTGACCGCGTCCCACCTGAAGCCGAGACTCACCGTGCGCACACAGTGCGTTCTGCATCGACGACGTCCAGAACCAGCCCCTCGCCGACTGGTATGGGATCGTCATGGGTACAAGCCACGAGGAACCGATGATGCGCTCAGTGCCGGTCGAGTGGAACCTCTTCGGAGTGGGACCATGGGACTACGCGGCGAACCAGCAGAACGTGTACAACTTCTGGAAGGTCGGCGCGGAACGCGCGAGGCCGTATGAAGGCGTGTTCACGATCGGCATGCGTGGGAACGGTGCGTGCCTATGTGCATTGTCGTCTGATGCGAGGTAGACGATGCTGAGCTCGTGTTTTGTTTTGGGGGTGTAGGTGATTGTGGGTGACGTTATCGTACCCCATGCTTTTGGGCGTGCGTGTTGAGCAGTGTATCTCTCGCAGTGCCCATCTCTGGTTCTGGGAGTGATGAACAGACAATCCAACTTTTGGAGAAGATCGTGTCCGACCAGCGCGGCTTGTTGGGGCAAGTGTTCAACACAACAGACGTGACAACCATCCCTCAGGTTTGGACTCTCTGTGAGTCGTCCCGAACATCTGCGGGATTGTACTCATTGCTGATACCACGGCAACAGACAAGGAGGTTGAGGGCTACTACGACGAAGGCATGACGGTGCCGGACGACGCGGTCATATTGTGGAGTGACGACAAGTGCGTCCCATTGAGATGGTTTGTTTGGAGAACTGCTGAACCTCGAGTAGCTGGGGTAATGTGCGTCGCAACCCATTGCCTAGCGAACGCAACAGGACGGGCGGCTCTGGTGTTTACTATCATGTAGGTGCCCTTCTATACCTTCCGCACGCACTGTCTGATACCTTTGTGGATAGGTAGACTATGTAGGCGACCCTAGGGATTACAAGTGGATCACGGTGAGAAGATTTTACATGTCATCATAAGCAGGACGCCGGCTCACATTTCCATAGAGCAGTCAGATTGAGAAGGTATATCCAGGATGTACGGGCGCAGGCTCTGACGCTGAAGTGAATGCCGCTAGACCTTCGAGCAACTGTCAACCGCTGTCAACCGCGACGCGACAAACATATGGATCCTCAATGTTGGCGATCTTAAGCCATACGAGATGCACACGGAATTTTTCCTCACCCTCGGATACGATTCATCGAAGTGGAATCCGTCTAACCTCAACACGTTCGTTACAAGCTGGGCTCAGCGCGAATTTGATGTGTCCGTTGCAGACGCTGCAGAGATTGCGAGTATCATCCACAACGTGACGCAACATAATGCCAGGCGTAAGCCGGAGCTGCTGAACTCGACAACGTACAGCTTGACGAACTACAGAGAGTACGCATCCGATCATTCTACTCGTTGCATAGAAGTCTCTACTAACGTGGCTGTGGATGCGCAGAGCGGATAACGTGCTTGCCATGCTGCAGGGATTGAGCAACTCCTCGACACGGCTGTACAATTCTCTGTCGTCGGAATTCCAACCGGCATTTTTTGAGCTCGTCCACCACCCGGTCCAGGCGACGTTGACACTCACGAACATGTGGATATCCGCGGGTATTAACAACCTTCGAGCGTCGCAGGCTCGCCTTAGTGCGAACAATTACATGACGCAGGTCGAGAGTTTGTTTGATCAGGACTATGCCATCGAGGTCGACTATCATACTATTTTGAATGGTAAGTCAGTCTTTCTTCCCGGTGTGATACAAACACTGACAAGTCTATATAGGGAAATGGCAAGCTTGTTCCTTCAAAGCGATGAAGATTCCCCTGACATCATCATAGGGACCATATGATGGATCAAACGCATGTTATGTACTACTATTGGCAGCAGCCCATGGCTAACACGTACGGCTGCTCGCGGGTACTACTGGGTTCATGCTAAGACTTTTCCAGAATGCCGTTTGTAACGAAGGTGCAACCTAAGAAACAGGCTCTTCCTGGAGCAATGAGGCTTACTGTCGAGGGAAGCTTAGGTGCTTGGTACGTAGTCTTCGCCCACTCGTCAAAGATTTCATCGTGTTGAAATATCCTTGAAGGCCTGGCGACGACATGAATAACTGCGCCGCAGAGTACGGCTGCCCTGACCCGTCAATATCTATCGATCCTTTCGTACCGACTGGGAACCGCTTCGTCGATATCTCCGCAGGCGGTCCGACGCCTTTCACATTCACTGCAACGAGCAACGTCTCCTGGCTTGACATCTCCCCTTCGCATGGCTCGATATCCCCCAGCTCCCCCGAACAACGCGTCTTCCTGAGCGTCGATTGGAGTCAAGTCACCGGCGCGGAGGCAGCGCTGATAGTCTTCGATGCCACCGTGGAGGACCAGCCGTCCATGTCAAGCACTGTGACGCTCACGGCAAACCACACGATCGTGCCAAGCGGGTTTTCCGGTACGTGCCTTCCATTCCTCCCGGTGTTCTAAGCCGATGGGGGCTGATCATTTGAGCGCTGTGCGGCTGCGCCGCACCGCAGGGTTTGTTGAGGGCGATGGCACGGTGTCTATCGAAGCCGCCCATTCTTCTCGGAACACGTCGGTCCAGGGAATCACTTGGACCGAAATACCTGGACTAGGGCGGACGCTGTCTGGCGTCACGCCGTGGCCCCGCGGCGGCGACGAACTGAATTTCACCGCCGGAAGCGGTCCTAGCATGTAAGTTTCAGTTCTCCCTTATCTACATATCTCTCGCCTGCGCAACATACGGCGCCGCACGCCCCGGCGAGGTTGCTCTGGAATGATAACCTGTCGTTCTGGACAAAACGGGCTGGGTCTTGCGATTTGGGGTTCAATTTGCGGAAACTTACTGACCCCTCCCCCCCTGCGGCGCTTTTGATGTAGCGAGTACGACTTCTTTCTCTTCAATACAATGGGGCAGAGCGGCAACGTAACGGTTACGACACTGGTATCGCCTTCATTGAACACCTTGGGAGACGACCGCCCGCTGGGCTTGGCGTTACAGATTGACAACGGGACGACGCAGACAAGCTATTTTGTGCCTCGTTCAGTACCGGGTGACACGCCTCCCGGGTGGGACGGTAACGACGGGTGGGTTGCGAACAGTATCATTGAAGTGCCGATGGTGTTGCCGGTGCAGCCTGGCGCGCACACGCTGAAGGTACGTATCGTGGAACCTTAACTCTAACGGAGATATGGAGGTACTGCTGAATGACGGCTTATCGACCTCGTACGCAGGTGTGGATGATTGAACCCACAGTTGTCGTGCAGAAGATTGTCATCGGTAAGCGTTTTCTTTCGTCTACAATACCTTGCTAAGCGGATATGGGGTTGACATCGTAGACACCGGAGGGATGTTGCCGAGCTACTTGGGCCCCCCAGAAAGCATCCGCGCGTAGGGCGTTGCCGTGGGCGTGTGTACGTTACAACAATACAATCTCATTCGAAGGCTTCGGATGTAAACGTGTTCCGTGTGTGCTTATCGCCTGTAGCATGGCGAATGCGTCAAGCTTACTGTCGGCAATAGCGGCTGCATGGCAAGTTGAGGTCAAGTACCGTCATGGTGGCCTTCCGTGATCAGACGAGCGTCCATGAGTCGCTTCTTAGGCGCCAAGATCCGTTCCCCGCATTCCACAAAAGGCAAAAGGTGGCGGATCAAGTTCTCGCGACCGCCAGTGAGTCGCTCTTGACCTCGAACCACCATCTCGACGTTGTGTCAGTACCCTTGAACGCATCATCTGCTTCCCTACACTATGGCACCTTCTGCTACTCATTCACAGAACCTGACGTACTCGTCATCGACGCTTGAACCCGCGAAGAAGGTCGCGAAGGCGGCGACCGGCAATGGGCGCGCGCCTGTCCACATCTCGTCCGCGGAAGTTATTCAGTTGGAGCATGAATATGGGGCACATAAGTGAGTATCTCTCGCAATGCACGCGCTTTTACACGTTTGGGGTCGCCTGCGTGCCGGACCGAGCACGACGCTCGCTCTCAATGCCGAGCCAACCGTCCCGAGGAGACCAAAGGCAGAGAAAAGCATTCATCACTTTCTATTGGATATGGGACATCATTCGTGATGTCCTCTATCCCTCTTTCACCTACTCATCTACCCGGTTCCAATCCACAGCTGTTGTACGAAGTCCTTCATGTGACGGTGTTGTGGTACGACTATGTGCGCAAGAGGCGTGGAGGGGACAGAGGAACGAAACCAGTCCGCTTTTACCTTCATGTGTACACGGCGTGAAGTAGAGACTGACGTCATCTGCGGCCAGCTATCATCCGCTTCCTGTTGTCTTCGAACGAGCGCACGGCGCGACGTGAGTAAATTTTGCCATTCATCCTCGACCATGTTTTGATTGGCTTGATTTGCAGGGTGTGGGACCCGGAAGGGAAGGAGTACATTGACATGCTTTCCGCCTATTCGTGAGTAATTACTCCAGAGATGGCGCCTTCGTTCGGCCGGTACTTACCCCGCCCCCGTAGCGCTGTGAACCAGGTGCGTAGGCCTTCCAAAGAATCCAGTCGATACGTCTGGCTCGGTCGTGTCTGTCTCGCGCGTAATTGTGTTCCGGCGCCAACGACAGTGTTTCGTACTTGAAGCGTTAGGCTTCTATACTGTCTCGTGGCCCCGGAAACGCCGCAGAGGACGGCGGCGCCAGCGATCGGCAACGACACTAGGATACCTGGACCTATCACCCTATACTTTCTTGTACCCTCATATTCACAACTGACACCAACGGGATGTAGGGTCATTGCCACCCCCGAATTGTTGGAGCACTTGTGGAGCAAGCGCAGAAGCTCACTTTGTCTTCCCGCGCGTTCTACAATTCAGTATTTGGTCGGTTCGCGCATAAGATCACGGACATGTTTGGATACGATATGGTGTTGCCGATGAACACCGGTGCCGAAGCGGTTGAAACGGCACTGAAGCTCGCTCGCAAGTGGGCGTACCAGAAGAAGGGTGTGGCTGACGGCCAGGCGATCATCTTTAGCGCTGCAGGCAACTTCCACGGCCGTACACTGGGCGTTATCAGGTGCGTAGTTGTCAACGTGTTGCTTCGCGGCAGTGCGTTATCAAGCTTTTGCGTTTAACTCACAATATTTCTATCTGCGCTTCCGCGTGTGTTCTGCATGTGTGCGCGGGGTTCACTGGTTGTGCCTCATGTGTAGCATGAGCACGGATCCGGAGAGCCGCGGAGGGTTTGGACCTTATCTGCGTGCCGTGGGTCCGGAATATGAGGACAACGGTGCGACGAAGACAATCCGCTACGGGGAGATCTCGGACCTTGAGCGCGCATTGGAGCTGCACGGCAAGAACGCGGCGGCTTTCTTGGTTGAGCCCATTCAAGGCGAAGCCGGGTGCGCATCGGCAAAGGGCAATGTTGCTCCCATATACGTGACTGACCGCTGCTGTTGACACTAGAATCGTCGTTCCTCCGGAGGGGTACTTGGCCCGGGTACAGGAGTTGTGCAAGAAGCACAACGTGTTGTTCATCTGCGACGAGATCCAGACTGTGAGTCTCGAATGCGTCTCTTCCTAGCAGAGACGGGCTGGAACGCTCATCCATACAGGGCTTGTGCCGGACGGGAAAGATGCTTTGCTGCGAGCACGATAATGTCCGCCCCGACGTCGTTCTCCTGGGGAAGGCTCTCTCTGGCGGAGGTCAGTGTACTTTATTTCGTCCGAGGTGCCAGATGCTGAAGTCATGATTCAGTCTACCCTGTCTCTGCGGTGCTCGCGGATCGGGACATTATGCTTTGCATCCAACCCGGGGAGCATGGAAGCACGTATGGCGGGTACGTCTCGAAAAGGCTTACAACACATTTGTCTGCTCAGATTTTTTCTGACAGGAACCCCTTGGGGTGCGCAGTGGCTATGACTGCCCTTGACGTCCTCGTTGAAGAGAACCTCTCCCAGCGCGCTAAGGTTCTTGGCGAGAAGTTCCGTACGGCAATCCGCGCGATTAACTCTCCTTTGGTCAAGACCGTTCGTGGCCGTGGCTTACTGAATGCAATTGTGATCGACGAGGAGAGCAGCCAGAAGGGCCGTACGGCGTGGCAGTTATGCCTTCTTCTAAAGAGTCGCGGGGTGCTCGCGAAACCGACGCACGTCAACATGTACGTACTCTTGTCTGCAAGTCTCATCATGGGCCTAGAGCACTGGGATGAGCGGCACCTTCTCACCCCTTTTGGCCGCAGCATCCGCTTTGCCCCTCCGCTCGTCATTACCGAATCGGACCTGATGAAGGCCGTCAACATCATTGAGTCGTCCCTGGAGGACCTGGACAAGGTGCGTGTGGGGGAGCATCTCCTATGTAGTGCACCAATGTGGCAATAGCCGTGCTTAACTAACGCGTATGTTCCTTCTTTCATGGTTTCCGATCGCTCCAGCTTGATGACATCCCTGGCGAGGTCGAGAGCGAGAAGGGTCACAAGGATACGATCACCAACTGAAGCTAGCACGCGTCCACAGCCAGGCTTGCATGAACGGACATCTATGCAGCTATCTATCACCATGCTGACCATCTTATATCGCACATAGCAGTCGTATGTAGCAATTCTATGTAGCAATAATGTCGGCTGATTTCATGACCGCCCTGTACGCACCACGTTTTGTGATACCTCAGCGAAGCCTCGATTGACCTCGCTGGATCCTGTCGCCGTTTGTCGTGTGCCCCATACAGTGTGGATCGCCGTCGTGGAGCTCTGGCAAGCGGAGGAATGCGTTCAGCACGCTCAGCAACCACAACATGACATGAAAGCAAGGCATGACAGGACGGGCGAATCCGCCGTCTACCAACGAAGGCAACAGATTGCTACACCTCGATCACCGGCCCGCGATGAATGCAGGTGCCGCACAGTCCCCCGATCATGTTCCGTCTCCACGGCAGACCCCTGGTAGTGTAACTGCGGTCAATGAAATCCACGCGAAGGGCTAGAATCGATCTAGAAGAGAGGGCCGGAAAGGGAGCGAAAGGTAATGTGCAAGAAGAGGACTAAGTACCGGCCTGAACACTCCGACGTTGGCTGTAGGTTAGTGAGTGTGACTAGACCCCAATGGTACATTAAGTGGATCAAGCACTTGAATGTCGTTGGCGGAGGAGTTCCTGATGTAATCGACCTCGACTGCCATTGGCGACAGATCTGGATTCTGCACCTGCAGCCTAGCCTGCAGAGATCTATGGTGCAGTTCACTTAGAGACCACCACTTTTGTACGCAGTTAAGCGCCGCTTCGTAACTTCATCAGATTGTCACGAAACACTTCCGTTATTTGCCATTTGCAAGGATTTGAATAGGGGAACTAATCCCCAAAAGCGATTCTCAATTGGGTCAAAACTGGCGAAGGTGACCTCACCAGTAAGGCCGCAGCACGTGATATGGGCGTTTATATACTAAAGAGGTAATCATCTTATTACATAATGTAAAGAGACGCCCGTTGCCTGTATCGGCCACTCCCTTGTTGGATCAGCTCGACTGCAGAACCTCTGGCATGTTGACCAATGAGATGCCAAAGTATACTAGTTTTAGTGCTTTCAGGATTAGCACTTTACCACTGCTGAACATAATTGATAAGTCTGAGGTCGCAGTGATGCACAACAGGCTGTATTGGTGTGGTGAGGGGGTCAAAGCCGTTGAACCTAACCTAAGGCCAAGTCACGTGACGCCTAAGCGCGCGCCTAACTGCGTACAACATTGGTGGTGACTAAGTGAACTGCACCATAGTATCCGGGGCTGGGGATGGCCGCTCATCTACATAACCTTCACTCCACAATCACGACGCTCCGGTGTTGCGTTCGTTATCATCTAGCCGCGACAGCGATTCAGGGTCGACGTGACAGATTCGACTTGGCTCCTTGTGTGTCGCCCGCACTATTGCCACCCAACCGCGGGGCAGGAGTAACCACAGTCTGGGAGCGCTAGAGTGGTAGAGTGGATCTATCTGTTTCGAGATGACGACCCTTCATGTAAGGGACGCCCCCGGTGGCGATAGATGCCATAATGTTCCCGCATTGTTGAGGTCCGGCTTCCGAGAAGTTGAGAAGTTCCCGGCCTTATATGTCATAGCAGCTTCTGAGGCGAAGGGGCTGGAGAGGTTATCTGAGTCGCCGTCAGGGCTAGGATTTGACGTGCTGCTCGGTTTGACAGATGCACGGACTGAGAGTATTCACGGAAAGCATCTGGGCTGATTTCTTGGCGCTCTCGGTACACACTAGGCAGCCTTCTGTGTGATCTCTCTGTCGGGACGTCGCTGAACAGTGCGGCTGATGAGCGAATAAGAACGCGACGGGTCGAAGACGCCGTGATTCTGAACAGTGCGGTGGTCATTGAGCTGCGATTCTGCCGATTTGAGGCTCGCGGAACACTCCTTGACGGGACAATGGAACTTGGGAACACCGAGGGCACATTGAGCTAGATTGTACGTGCAATACAGATGTTTGTCGGAAACGTGTCGGGACAGATCTTAGCGCGCAGCACTTTCGGGCCGCTACCTGTCGTAGCCACGTGGCATGTAGTTTTGGAAGGAACGAGGCAACGGACACTGCTCGCAATGCACCGTGACACGCTTGTGAGTCGCCGTCTCTGCCCTTTCGAGCTGCGCAAGCGTGAAGCTACTCAGACCAATGTGGATAGAGGCGTCTACGTGCCTGTTTGACTTTCAGCGCGTTAGCGGTGGATTTACTGATACTTTCTGATCCAAGGAACTGCGACTTAGATCCGAAACGCTGAGACGACAGCGGCGCCCACTCGTACTAGAAGTCTGAGACAAGACGACGGATCAAAGTAGATAGGAAGATGTCTTGACGCCTTCTCATAATCAAAGGGCCAGAGTGTCCTGGACTCTAACTGTCAACGAATCCGCGAAACGATTTTGGGGTGCGACCTGCTGGTAAGCACCACGCTCCATGGTTCACGGTGCGCGGAGCACCAGATCCAGACAAGGGGCCATTCTCATTTACAGAGTAGTAGGAACGACACGCCCTCTCTTGTCGGAAATGAACCCGGTGTCAGTGGGATGTTGATACACCCGCTTTGGCTTAGCGCAGTACTAGATGTTCGAGCCAAGATGCAGGATGCTAGGTCGCCTCCCAATATGAATTTGGTCTTGCAGCAATGGTTGGACCTATTCCCTTTTCTTGCCGGTCTACTGGCTAACCGCCCGTGATCGACTCTGGAACTTCCGATCCGTCAAATTCGTCGAAGTCGCCGAGTCAGGTCAGTGACGCCTTTACTGAGATACCAGCTATATAATGGGAGGGACAGCTACCCCCTACTAGTCACCCCTCAGTTCCCCTCCATCGTTCTGTTCAGCCGTATTCTAGCCAGGAGTGCCACTATTGGTCATGAGCTCGACTCAGGTATGCCAGTCGCCCGCTCGTTTGACGTCTCATAGCTGACCGCTACGAGCTTCAGGTGCAGGCCACTAGCGGGAGTAACTCTGACGGAGAACGCGAAGGGGCAAAGCCGAAGGTCCCTCGCAGGACGCCCATGGCCTGTCAATTCTGCAGAGGTGCGTGTGCCCACAGCCATCCCTCCCGGATCGCCTATCGAGATCTGATATACTCTTCGTTGATCTGTGGATAGGACGAAAGCTCAAGTGCGATGGTCGCCCTACCTGCGCGAATTGCCAACGTCGGAGCATCCCCTGCATCTATGTGCCTGTGTACGTACATTCATGCAACACCTCCTGTTATGTATTGATCTCATGTCCCTCTCGATAGCGCGGCTCAGAAATAGTGGGCAGCCATCGACTTCGTTCATTGGTCCATTGTTGTACGGCAAGCCGTCTTATGCCTCGGTTTCTGGGATGCCGTCGTCAACTCTATCCTCTCGGTTTGATGCTACATTAATAGTCCCCATATTGGATACCTAGTATAGCGCTTCGTCTCTGACATAATTTATCTCAGCATAGTCGCGCCTTTGGTCACACGATGCAAGCCATGACGCAACTTAAGATGGTTCGATGTCGCATCTCCCGAACCCTGGGCCTCTCGCGATCAGCACGGGGAGGCGCGAAGGAGGGAACAGCGCCGAGTGAGCCCTTCTATCGATCCCACACATTCAGTCCCGTGAGTTCATGAGATGTACGAGAATGCGGAGCCCACATTCTGGTATCTGGCGCTTCCTTATCGGATATATAGGCCATGCCAGCAGATGGCAGGTAAAGCGACTAGATCTCTGAAATCCAGCTACTCGGTACATCATACGTGTCGGCGAAGGTGGGTGGTTCTGAGCTTGCCTTACGAACGCAGGAAAGCAGCCCTTGATATGTCTGTACGTTCCGTCAAGGAGAAGCGATGGGCTAGAGAGACGCAAGCTCAAAGCGACGATGGTCCAGCTGAGACATCGGACGGGATCGTCAATGGCTACATTGAGGTTGCAACGCGAGCCGCGAGCTCGTCAAAGTTGTATGAAAGGGTCCTTATCCTCAATAGACATGCAGCACTCCATTTCCAGCCCTAAAGATGTGCGGTGGACAAACTCAGAGAACCTTCCGCAGTAATTTTGCAGTCAAGGAGTCATATAAGCGGCCGCTATTCACGGTTATGGACAAACCCCATGAATGACGCAAATTCTCGATCTGCCGCACTTTTCGAGTCATGCGTGCACCCTGGACGCCGAAATGAGGGCTCTTCCATGGTACTATAAGGAGTTCTTACGTTTGTACACGACCAGGCATGGTGCAGAGGCCTCTTCGTGCGGCGAAGAAGACGAGCTGCGACGTACTAGTGAGCTGACGCTACCCCTTCACAGAGCCTTCGACATCAGGCGCGCGTGCAGCTCATGTCGTACGGTCCTTCCAGTCCTAGGGTCATCCTCGCTAGTCTACCGGAAAGTGGGCTGTGGAATGTTTCCCCCGATATGTCCTGAGATCCTGTCTGCCGTAAAGAGTCGGCAGAGTGACTGAAGGATTGTATGGCGTAGCCCCTATCGCGAGCCACGAGGCAATTGGAGCAGTCAGCAGGATATCGGAGGACGATCCGTGAGCAGGGAGTGGCTCATCCCCGCGTAGCCGAAACGTCAGCATCCTCCATTAGCGAAGTCCAAGCCCGCGGCAGACCCTGACATAGATCGCAGTCATAGGCCTCGACGGTGGATGATTCACGCCTACTACCTGACCTCCGCCACCCAAACAAGGCTAGCTTCGCACGCCATTCAAGTCAGACTTGCTCCCTTGAGGAATTGCACCTTGCCTGCGGATTCTCGGTGGGATCGAGGGCTCGCCGACAATCGCGCCTGCGTCGAAGGACACATCGGAGGACGACCAAAACGTTGCAGGAGGGGTTCGAAACTCAGACCAGCGGTCGTCTTCGCTATAGACGCGGTTAGAGAGTTGGGGTGCCACGCCGCTTCGTCCACGAGCCTCGGCGGCTCAGCCGGCTCGACGCTAATCTTGAGACACACGAGGCTATCAGATCATCGTGTCGTTTACCGAGCAGGCCTCCCGCACCGAAGCGGTTGCTCGCGTCCCACTAAATGTTCGCGGTAAGCCGAGGGGCGCGACGGGCATCTGTTTCTAGAACCGCTAGACCACCACTAGAGTTCGCCTCGCACGCAAGACAGTCTTGGCCCCTTCGGGCTCCACCCTGAAGGCGCGGGGGATACAGTGCGTTCCAAAGCGGGGGCATGCCTGCAAACTCAATCTCTCGTTATCAGTCACCTGTACCGAGTGCATGCGGAAGACGCACCTTACAGCAGAGCGCCAGGCCTCTCGCTCAGCAGCGCAACTCTTAGGAAGAACTTTCGTTGCGCTGCGTCGATGCACTATAATGTGATATGGGAACGCACCAGCGACGAGGTCGCGGGACCTGTATACTGCATTCAGTAACACCGTGAAGATGCACCTGCGGGGTGAGCGTTCTCGGCATGCGCCCACAGTGCCTTGTCTATGGGCGGCCCAATCACGGTGGGGAGTAACCATAACTGCGGCACCCTTTGATGCGTAGAGCCGCGGTACAGCCCATTCGTGGTAAGTCGACAACGAAGGTCGTACAGAGGACATGGGGTTCTAGGCAATATCAGCATGATACATTGGGTTGGGCCCAAACGGTACAAAAGAGCGTGTATCTGGTCGTGTGCGTGAGTACGGCGTGTTACAGTACAAACAGGAGAAAGACTCGTACATTGAGAAACGAGCAGTCGTGAGTAGGATGCGGGGAAGTCCAATCAATACGAGTCCTGGTGCCGTTGTGTGTCTATGTCGACATGACCCGAGTCCGAAGCAAGCAAGTGAGTGTGACAGATGGTGAACTGTATGCGAAAACGACAAAGCCAATACAATACAATGCGTGCGACGAGATGAGATGGGAACAGAGCGAATGCGTGACGGATCTAGCCCAATGCGTACTCATCCTCGCAACACGGCTCCAGCTCGATACGAGGCTCACCTTATCCTTCCTCCGGGTCGTCCGTGTGCGCGCTCGCACTTCTCGCAGTGTGGAACGAGGCCGACGTGCTCCTGCTCCCAAAGAAGACCGGCCCGCATGCGCTCGTCGCGGAGCTCGGCGTCTGGACCAACTCGCCCATCTCCCCTGCCATCCCAAGCACCGTGGGCCCGTCGACGGAGACCGACAGAGACACGGCAGCATCCAGAGAGTTTGCGCGGCTCGCGCTCCGGCTCGTCGGCGCGTCCGCAGTGCTGAGCGTGTTCGAGCGCGTCGAGTTGCGCGTCGAGAAGCCCCCCTTGCTGGCCAGGCTCATCACTTCGTGTGAACCCAGCGACTCAATAGTGGGCATCCGGTGGATGGTCCGGCCCACCACGACGTGCGCGTCGCTTCGGTCTCGGTCTCGGCCTTCGTTATACGATCCCGGGAAGCTGTAGCGATCGCTGTCTGGGTGCGCCGTGGCGTCGTTCGTGGCGCGCGTGACCTCCTCGACGAGCGAGCGGAACTGCGTCGCGAAGTCGTTCAGGTCCGAGTCCGGAACGGGGTCCCAAGAGCTCCCGTCGCCCCTGGGCGGTGGGCTACCAAGAGGCACGGCAACGTATCCACCCACCCGTCGTTGGACGGGCCGCCCGTACCGGTCCTCCCCATCCTCGTCCGTATCAGCCCCTTCCGAGGAGGAAGGCGAGGCAGTGCGCATCGCCGCGTCCGGTTGTGCCGCTGTGTTCCTGAGGCCCTTCGCGGAGGGTCTGCGGATGACCTTCGACGCCCCAGAAGACGCGAGATCGCCCGCCATGATCCGGGAGCTCGCAGTGCGAAGTGTACGCGGCCCAGCATCGTCCGCGTTTCCGGAAGAGTTCCGTGGGAGGGATGTGTGGCTACCGGCAGCCAATGGAGACGAGACGGGAACTGTAGAGACGGACGTGGTGGACAGTGGCCTGAAGCTGCGCGACGATGCCGTCGTCGCCGTTGAATGCGACGGGAACGAGGCGGCAGAGTGGCGGAAGATCGACGACGTATGGCGACGACGCGAGGGCCGTCGTGTGACCATGTACTGGTAGGACACAGCGTGGTACGTGGCCTGAAAACGGACGGGTCAGCTTTGGTGCTTCAGCTATCTGGATGGAGGCATACCAGGACACCAGCGGTGAGGATCAGCCGTACGAGGGAGCCTGTGAGCCAGAAACCCCATGCAGGTGAGTCTTGGCACTGACCACCATACCCTGACCAGACGAGGTCGATCTCCCAGTGACACCTGCCACGGATGCTATTGTCTATGTCGGAAGAATGTCTCCATATGATAGTGAGGACAACGTTGACAATCGCGGGAGCGAATAGAGATATCGAGGAACAATAATGTAGGAAACATCTCAGAAGAATGAGCCTGGATCGTGGTCTGTAATACCAGCCCAAACATGCTGCCGAGACGGTGATGATGACAGAGAGGAGATTGCAAGCGAGACACAGCGCGGTACAGGAGCCGAGCACGAGGGCTATAATTTGTCGCTCCCGGTTTGGCCGCAGGACCGCGCTGATGTAGTAGCGCGTCGTATTGTATGTGGCCCAACCGCCTGCAATTCAACCATGCGTCAGTGGGCTGTAGGTACGGTGTACGGCAGAAGGCGAAGGTGGTGAATCGTCCTGAGAACTGAGACAAGGTTCCGAGTCTCCGAGGTCCCAAAGGTCGAGATTGCCTTCTTGGCCACCGCGACTTCACACGTAGTGCCTCGAAAAGGAGAGACTGGACTACCGGAACCTTGTGGGTCCAGTATGGATCGTGAGTCGTGCCGTGTTAGCATTTGCACTGCTCATGCGTATCCCTGATAGACGCTCATTATATTGATCACCACTGGGCTGTGGGCTCGCAACGACTGCATGGTTCACCGCGTACGCTCTGATGGAGAACGCATGAAGGACGCGAAGCGGTGGGGGAACAGCATGGTCGGCGAATTCTCGCAGCTAGCCAACCTCTGTCAGACGGAGTATCTGCGGAGATAGAATGCAGAGCATACGGCATGGTGCACGTCGCCACAGGTGGCATTGTCCCCGCAGACGTTGTTTAGATCTTGGAGAAGACAGGGCGAATCCGTTTGCGATGCGCAGAGTTGCCTTCGCAGAACGAGAGAGCAAGGGAAGGAAGGGATTTCCGGAACGGACCGCCAATCGTGCTAACACGGCAGGGATCCGGGTGTTCTCGAATGGGGAATATTTGATGCAAAGGGGAAGCGCAACCGCCTGCCATTTGCAATGACTTTTGTCCGGCGAGGTTTCCACAAAGTGTTTGTCTTGTACGTCCCCTCTTCGTCGACCATTCGCCAATTGAACACGTCCGATTTCCTGCCGTGTGAGCACCCTCGGACAGTCGATAGGCGAAGATATCACGTTCCTCAGACAGTGCACGGCGGGGATTGGGGCGTTTTCGATTGGGAAGAATTGGATGCAAAGGGGACGCAGAAGGCAACCGCCTGCCTTTCTCAAAAGCTTTTATCCGGCGAGGCGACGTTTCCACAAACAGTTTGTCTTGTGTGTCCCTTCTTCATCGACTTTCAGCGATCGAACACACCCGATTTCCTGCCGTGATGGGTCGTCCCGAGTACGCAAACTGGCGGCAAGCAGCGATCGAGGATACACAACACGAACGGCGAGCCGCGGGTGGCACTGGTTTTGTACTGTGCCCTCATGCTGAGGACCTACTGGCTAGCGCCAGTAGGTCCTTGGGACATCCTCTGGCGTCTAAAAGACATGCGCCAGAATATCGTCCGACAAGACACTTGGAGGACGATCCGGCGTACTTGCCCAGCGCTGGCGAGACAGGACAGACCCAGCGGGTTCAAGCGCTTCACGCGTCCCGCGGGGACAAGACGCACACCGCGGAAACTGACCCTCCCGCGATAGCAGAAACCGATTCCAAAAGAGAAAGAGAACGGGGATATCTTGCAGGCAGGAACGAGAAAGATAAGAGCGAACGTGCTCGGACGGCACTCACCGATGACGACCCAGAGCACCCTCTGCGCGAGCCGCAGCCTCTTCAGCCTCCTCCTCACCAGCTTCTCGTGCGCGACCCTTCTCTCCCGGAGCGAGAAGGGGTCCCCGCGCAGGCTGAGCGCTCTCGCCCGCGCGTGGTGGCCCACGCTGTCCGGATACGTCGGCTGGCGCGCGAGCAGGTCCAGATACGCGGTCGACTCGGCATCGGCGCTCTCCGAGGGGCGCATGAGGGACTCGGTCGGGTGCGAGTGCTCGGAGGCGGACGCGTGGAGCGTGATGGACGAGACCGACGACAGCTGGCGGTCGTGCGGCAGGCGGCGGTTGGGCGAGCGGTGGTGGTGGTGGTGGTGGGTGCCCGCGATCGCGGGCAGGGGCGAGGGTGGCTCTGCGGCGAAGATGGCATTGTGGAGGAAGACGGCGGCGGCCATTCGCGCGGCCGACGTGGTCTGTGGGGGCCGTCCGAGGGCGCGTCGGACGCGGGGAGTCGAGGGCCCAGGGCAGGCGACGGGCCAGGGACGCGGCTGGCGAGGGGTGTGTCGGCGAGCGGGCAAAGCTGAAGTATAGGGAGCGGCGGTGCGAGGGTCGCAGGAAAGCGGTCGGTGCGTCGGTCAAGTTGGACGTCCCGTGCGTCCCAAACGCTTTGGTGCCCTAACGCCGCAGTGGAGTCTCTGCGGGAGGTGCGAGGCCTGCGAAGGCGAAGGAGAATACGTGAGCTGGTGGATACCCGATAGCTTCGTGCTCGCGCGTGGCGACGGTCACAGGCCTTGGGCGAGTCGATGGGAGAAGACAGAGAGCTCCGGCTCCAGACGAGAACGCACCTAATTGAATATTGCGCGGCCCCTGCAGCACACAGCCCGCTCGGTCCTAAGCTTAGGCTTGTCTTGTTGTGGCCTGTCGCAGCCTCCGGGCCACCGAGCGGGTTGATCGCGCTGAGTGGACAGACAACGGGGCAGGACAGCGCGGGGGGCACGGTGCCGGCCACAGCTACGAACTTGACCGCTTTGGGCGTGATGGCGGCGTGGCCGAGGCACCCAGGCCCGCTGATTTGGAATCCACTCGCTGCGGCATGCGCATGAGGCTGGCCCGCGTGCCATGCGTCGCCCGAGACACGGTTGCTGTCCCAGGCTGCTCTGTCTGACGCAACGTCGCGCTCACCGTTGCGCGGGCGGGAAAGGCAGCAGGCGTACCATACGGTGTGACGCCATGAGGGACGCGTACTCACGAGTCGTACCTAGCTCCTCTAAAACATCCTATCGAGAACCTTATAGTCTAAGTCCCAGCAGCCGACCGACGATGTCTCCCACGTACAGAAGATCTTGATATTTTCGCACTCTCGAGGATATCGGTGGCCGTGGTTGCGGCCACGGACTCAGATGACGTACCACATCATGATACGCAGCGGTGTGTACTTACGCTGCGACGTCGACATCAACTTGGGCTACGATATATTACATACAGAGTAATTGATCATTCCCGAGAATCCAGCAACAGCGTAATAGGCATGTGCACATGGTGGTATGTATAGCTAGATAGATGTAAACACAGCGTTACGAGAGCACGCCCCAGAGACCGAGACCCGCGAAGAACCCTCCGAGGCCCACGAGCAGTCCGACATACGCGGTCGTGTGCACACCAATCCGGGGCAGTATGGGCGGAGAGTGCAGGAGCGACAGGAACAGATGGACGACGACCACGAGAGGGAAGGCGATTGCCAAGGCGTGGTTCGAGTAGATCGGCGCCGTATCGGCTCCTGGCGGGAAGGAGAGCGGGGAGAGAAGGTACGCCCATGCCAGAATGAGCGTGAACCCGAGCGAGAATAGAAACGAGTCGATACGTTGCAGACAAGGCACAAATACAGGGATATACTGCGGAGGAATGGCTGTGAGCATCGACTGCAGTAGCGGGATTGCACTCGCAAGCAAGACAAAGCCAATAAGCTAACCACCGCAATGACAGCCCGTCGCCACCAACGTCAACACCCTGATTGGCTGATGTATGCAGCCGCAGTCCTCGGGCTGACTCACGAAGGACTGGGTAGGCACCGACGCCGGACCCACACCAGATGTCCGAGCGCAAAGCCAAAACACGATGCGTACGCAAACCCGAACGATGACACGAAGACACTCACAATCACAGGGATGCCGTACACCTCCTCGAGCTCCTCGCGCTCCTGCAGGTGAATCAGCTGCTCCACATCCTGGTCGACCGCGAGCCGGATCGCCTCCTCCAAGCTCATCGGCGTCGGGCCCGCTCTCCTCGGGCTCCTCCCGTCGCCGCCGTTCGCCCCGTCCGCGTTTCCCTTCCCGTTCCCGTTCCCGTGCCCGTCCGCGTCGCCCGGGGGCGAACGCCCGTGAGCGCTCCGCGGGCTGAGCGGCATGTACTCCCTGCTCGCGTTATTTGAGAGCGCCACGCCGCCCTCGCCCCCCCAGCCGCGGGCGCGCGCGAGGATCGCCTGGACGCGCTCGACGGGGACCATGACGTTTCGGTACAGCGCGAGCTGGGCGTACCCCTGCGCGACGCTCGCCGCGGCCTCCGCCGCGGCCCACCCGAGCGCGGTCCACCAGACGGTGCGGAACGCGCCGTCGCGCCACGTCGGGCGCGGGTACGCCATGTCGTGTCGGACGCGGAGCGTTGCGAACGCAGCGAGGCGGAGGAAGTTCGAGAGGAGGACGTGGAGGAGGTTGAAGAGGAGGGTGTCGAGGGGGCGCGGGCAGGGGGCAGAGAGCGTCCAGAGGGGCGTGCGGAGGAGGTGCGACAGGGACCAGAGTGCGGCGGCGAGGGTGAACTCGGGGAGGGGGGAAGGGAAGGAGCGGGGGAATGAGGGAGGGGATGGCCAGCGGACGGGCCAGAGCCATGTCGGGGCGAGTGCGAGAGCGAGGAAGACGAGCAAGGAGGTGAGCGGGACAAAGGCGTAGAGCGCAATTGTCCTTTTGTAGGAACCTGGATGTCCTAGGTCAGCGACAGGGTCTGGATGTATTCAAAGGGCCACTTTAATGGACAGCGCCTCGCAACAGCGATGAAACCTGCGTGTCTCCAAAGAGCTGGCCCGCTCGTGCGAGCATATCAGGCAACACTCGCGCGACATGCACTCCGAATCATAGGTACGAATAACGCACCCTGCGTACGGTGAAGACGGAGGATACGCGGCGCACAAACACAAGAACTAGTACAACATCGGACTCACCACTATAATACCCCTGCTGCGCCAAGTCCCAGTCGTCGGCCTCTGCGTCGTCCTCACCAGCATCCCCGTCCAGAGCAGCTTCCTCCGGGACCCTGTCCAGCCACGAATTACTTCTGTACCTCTCTGGGCTCTGGCGCAGCCTCGACGGCCCGCCTTCGTCCAGAACCGCCCCGTAGCTTTGCCCGCCCCCCTTACCGTTACTGTCACCGTGCGGGCTGAACCCCGCTGACTGCCTCGGCGTGACGTGCGTGTCGACGCCCAAAAGCGGTTTCCATACCATCTCCTCCGCAGCCACGACGGGCTCGGGCTCAGGACCAGCGGTCTGAGGTAAAGTCTCGGATGGCCGTCCGGCGAGGATTTGGGAGACGGTTTGCGGGCGAGGGAGGGGCTGCGGGGCGGTCGCGACGGTTGGCGTCCGGTCCTGGTCTTCCCAGCCGTCGTCCTCCGGGTTTTGGTGTACTCGGCCGTACTGATGGTGGAGGCGGTCCCGCAGAAGAGGGGCGGCCGCTGCTGCTGCTGCTGCGACTACCTTGCCTAGTCCCATCGTATTTAGAGCACAGGCGGGCCGGAGAAGGGTATTCGCTAGAGTAATAGGATGCGCAGCGGACAGGGAGTGACTGACTGCAGGCGAGGGTCGCAGGGCCCTAGAGGGTGGTCATGAGTTCGTAGTCGTGGTCGGAAGGACAGCAGGGTGGGAGGAAGGCAGTGAGCGTTGCGGTCGAAGAAGCAAAGGCGTTCGACGACGCGACTCTGACGAGAGGCGGAAACAGCGCTCACCGCAAGCATCAGGTGCCCGCGACTTGCGCCGAGCGCGTGACGCATTCACACTACCAGATATACGTATTGCGCGAATGAACTACACATGGACGCTCATTGACCGAAGTATGATGCAAACTGCATCGTGGACGGTGTTCACGAGACGTTTGGTGGAATACAGCGCCTTGCATAAGTCCGTGAACGCGCGGGATTTTTTCTCTCCGGCGTCTAACCTACCCGACCTGCCTAAACAGGCCACATCATGGTCACAGGCCCAGACACGACGGGCAGCGCTCGGGATCCCTTCGCGTGAAACGGAGGTTTGTTTTCGGGAAAGTCATAACTTGTCCCTTTGCCGACGTGTGCCAAAGGATGCTGAAGGGTCGGCAATGGGAAAGTTGTACTTGCTCAGAGGTTCTAAAGCCCTTTGACAAAGAACGATTCCAGGCGGTGCCCATAGTGAGAGCTCCCCTGCGGCTGAGCCCGCTCGCTGGGCCACTGGCATTTCCAAGAGTGAGTATGCCATGGGCCCAGTAAACTTGCGCATAAGTACTTGTAGTCATACAGTGTGCACAGTGCACAGAGATAGTTTGCATGAGGGCAACAGTCACTGCACGAGATTATATCAAACGGGCCCTTGCCAATGAATACATGACTTGCGATGCTGTGGGTGGCCAGCCTCAAGTCACTCCTAAATGCTTGAGAGTTGGACATGCATATGGTTGATGAAACATGTCGAGAACACGTTGAAGCTACTGCACTGACTCAGGCATGATCATGTATATGCCACTGCACCTTTACTATGGTACCTCCTGTTTAG